CACCCCGTGATCACACAGGTTGATATGTTGTTCCATGTGGGCTTTGTTGCTTCTGAGCTAGATGGCCGCTTGTTTTCCTTCAAGCTTTTAAGACCCCCGACGCTATATCTTTGATAGCTGGGCACCATCAGCTTTCTTCACCACATTTGCTTATTCAACCGCTTTGTCTTCAGCGGTTGTGTCGCCTTTCCCACTCTTATATCAATATTCACAACTACTAAATTAAAGCCTTTGGAGAAAAAACAGACTCTCAAAATAGTCTGTATCGGACAAGGGCAGACAGGAGGTGTGAATTAATTAAATGAATGAACTCAGACAAGAAAACTTCTGACTGGATGAATGAAGACTGGTGACTTGATCTAAGATCAGTCTACTGGTGATCAGTTCTTGTAGTATTTTGTCTGAAAAAAATATATATGAAAATAAAAAAGATAATAAAATGAGATCCTGTGCACTGCAGGGACAGTTGTCCCGAGGTAGGAGGGAATACAGGAGGAGTATTGAAGGCAAAAGATAGTTTTGAGGAAGCAGATGTTGTGCAGAGAATTCATCCTGGACGTAGGAAATACCAATCAATATGGGAAGTTTGGGGGGATTAAAGGAGAAAGCAGAACAGGAACTAAGTTCAAAACCATCCTGTCATCACAGGGAGATGGGGTGAGTGCTTCTGAAAGAAATGAGATGCTCCATTTCCCTGAGGAAGACTGAGATGAAGAAGAATCCCCAGACACAACAGGAAGCCAGTGGTGAAGCTCCACCAGCACCTGCTCCTGGGCCTGAGTCCTGTGCTCTGTGGGTCCTGAGGGACCCCTGCAGCATAAGCTCTTCCACAAGGGGGCGGTCGTGTCTGGGTTAGCTCTGACTTCCCCTCACTGTGCATCTTTTGCACAGAAATACGCTGCTGTGTCCTCGAATTTCAGGTTGTTCATTAGAGTGAAGTTATAGTACGTTCTTACCATTGTTTCTGGAGATGGTGAATTGGCCCTTGGAGAGTCTGTGTGGAATGTCTTACCAATAGTATTAATGTATGCAACTCACTGCTGCCACTTTGCTGGAGCTAGGCAGACCCAGTGAATATTATAAATACAAACATTGAAAGCAGAAAGCCCAGGGGAGAGGCGTGTTCCTGTCTGGGTTAACTCTGACTTCCCCTCACTGTGCGTCTTTTTTTTAAATCGTTTTATTAGGGCCACATACAACTCTTATCACAATCCGTACATACA